GTATCCAGTACTTTCTGCCAGAGAATAGGCTGTTTGAAAATACTTCAGGGCTCCCACAAAATCTGATTGTGCCTCTTGTAAGTAGATCCCCAGAGCACGGTACCATTTGGCTGGTGAGAAATTAGTTAGGTGAACATAATGACATTGATTGTGTATTACCTTGTTCCAGTGGATGTCTTGATTTGAAATACTGAGTTCCTAAGGTGATGTCACTATTGATGTCCAGGTCAGGCAAAAATTGAGAAGATTCCAGTAGCCCAATAAGATATTTGCCAAAAATTGGATTGCCTTTCCAGTGGAGTATTTTCTTGGAAAGCTGGAGCAGAAGGGGGAAACATGCCTGGTGAACCCGACGATAGAAATGATTGAGAAACAGAATGCTCTCAAAATTCTGGACAATATCAAAGCCCTCTGATTGCAGCCCATCGTGGAGAACACTTTTGAAATTACCCAAATTTTGTGTAATTTGAGGCTGTATATCTGCTACATTGAGATTCTTGAATTGGTTCCAAAGATCAAGAATTTGATGGAAGTGTTGTTGTAGTTTTAGCTTTAAGGCATTTTCTGGAGGATGAATATGGAAGATGTATTCTCGAATTGGAACCAGCACCTTCAGGTGTTGATCCTGGCCAACAAAGGCAAGGGCTGTTTGAATCAGAGTGGCCTTGCAGGCAAGAATGTCAGGGATTGGCAGTTGGGCCTGCACCAAATCTGTATCTGCAAGCCCATCTGGGAGCAATGAAAGAATGCGGAGCAACTCTTGAGCACCTGAGGTCATCCGGGAGCTGGTATATGATAACATGATGGATATGTCCAGGCTCGATCTCTGGTCATACCCTTCTGAAAGCATCTGGGTGCTCTCCAGTTTCCAACGAGAAAGTGCTTGGGCACATCCTTCAGAACCAGCAACACTTGCAATGAGGCTGACTGCCAGTGGAAGGTTTCCTGTCAGCTCAAGGAGTTCTTTTATGCTGGCATCATCATGGGCTTCATCAGCAACCTCAATGAAGGTCTGCCTAGCAGCCACATTGGAAAGTGGCTCAAGAGGGGCAAGGAAAGGTCGGGTCCATTTGACTTTGCTTGGTCGCTCGGCACCTCTCAGGGTGATCTACTGCAGGTTAAAGCTATTATTTGATCAACTTGTAAACATGACTCACCATGAGACCCAAGTGGGGGACATCGGTCAGGAGAGATAGGAACTCTTCAACTTCAGAGCGGGATGAAAGGGCTTCCCAAGTGGTTTCCAGATTGTCAAGGACCAGAAGAGAAGGAGGAGCATAAGCAAAGTAATGTGCAATCTTCTTTGCCATGTTTGAGCCCTTCTCCAATCCAATATGATCTGCAATTGTCACTGCCAGCTCAGTGCAAGTGGGGCTCGAGTGGCATGGAACAAAGTATTGATGCAAATACTTCGCTTCCACTTGTGGGTTATGGAGGGCTGCGGTAGCTAGACTGGTTTTTCCCATACCACCTGTACCTAGGATGGCAACATGGGCGGAATTTTGGAGGAGTATATTGACCACATCCTTCAGCTCTGATTCACGGCCATGGAAGATTTTGGGAGATGCCGGGAGCAGACTAAATGAACCTGAACTAATGTGAAAATCAGCCACCGTGGATTATTACACTCCCCCACAACAGACCTATTTCTGGAGCTTGAAAGAGTCCCAGTCACCTAAATAATAAACATAAGCTAGAAAACTGGAGTCTGATTTGAAATTGCAACTAACTGAGGAGCGATCTGAACTGCTAAGGTCTGGATGGGCATTCAGGAGTGCCATAAGCTCATCATGCTGTTGCTTTGCATCCTTTTTCACGTTCCCTATCTGAGAGAGTGCTGAACCCCCAGCTCTGACCTGAATGAATTTCAGTAATGAGATCACAAATGCCTCGGAATTCAATGCCATCAGGTGTACCCTGAAAATTTCGATGGCCTTAGTGATTTCCTGCCTGTATGTCTCCAATTTCCCAGCAATATCAGTCTGCTTGAACAGTTGCTTGATCCTTCCCATTTTCTGCTGTGCTGTGAGAATAGTCAAGATCTTCTGAAGTGTTCTGCCATGCTGTCTCACTGTGCGTCACCCAGAAAAATGCAATGACAACATACTCAGTGAACTTTGCAATGTCATACAAAAGTGTCGTTGGAAGCACCCCTCTAATTTCTGATGTGGAGCACAGGATTGTGATAGCACACAGGATCTCGTGGATTTGTTCAACCATCATCATCCACTTGTCCCTGTTGGACCTGACAGCCTATATTTATCTTCATGAGCAAGGTATTTTGTACTGACCATAGGTCAGACTTACCTCCACACATTTCAGAATTGACAAAGTCAATGCTGTGGTTGAGGATAAGAAGGGAATCTGGAATGATCCCGCAATCTCCTCAACAGTGCTAGCTGCCACTGTTGTATACTGGATTAGATTCTCGAGCTGTGTCGGTACTTGCATGGTTGGGGATCACAGATGGCAAAGCCACAACTCAGTTACTCTTATCTATATACTGCCGTACCGCAACAGTCCAAAATTGCTATCAACAGATATGCCAAACTATGTTTATATATCTTTTGATGTGGGCCTCGCACAGACACGATTCTACTTGCATTCTCAGCATCATATGTGCATCTCTTGATGTTCTGCACCCGAAAATAGACCTTATGTTTCACAGGTAGCAAGAGGAATAATGATAATACTAGCTGAATCCCGGTGAACTTCCATTCCGCCATTACACACATCGGCATCTCGACCCCAGTTGACAAGGAACAGACAACAGAGTTATGTGACCATCCGCAGATGATCAGCAACATCTGCCACCTGAGGCAGATGAAATCACAGCAGAAGGACTGCATCTCCACTCGCAGCACCCTCAAGACCCGGACAAAAGAGGAGATTAGTTCCCTCAAATCAAGCTATAATGGTGCAATGATCAGTTTCGAGGGCAGATCCGCCCTCACTGCATTGTCTAATGATTGTTTCAAAAACGGGAGATTGGGCGGCATATTTGACAGCTTTTCTGTATTGAACGATGTTTACTACATGCACATTGAAAGGGCACTTAGACGATAGGAGGACCGTGCAAATGAGGGAATGGGCACTTTGGGAAGATGAAAAAGCGCGCAGTTCAAAAAAAGAAGCCACATCCAAAATCACGAGAGCGAACGTGTCGCGAGAGCGACTCGACGACCGAATAATATTCTCCGTCACAAGCGCGAACGAGTGGATATAAAATATTTCAGCGAAGACCCGGCGGGAATCGAGTATCGTGACAGCGAGGAGTGCGGCCCCTGCGTGCACCATATTTGGTTCATCGCGCGCGCACAAGCTCGTAGCAGCGAAGCCAGTGCGATGAGGGACACGTCCGTCGCGAGCGCCCCAGGTGACATGCACTAGTCGTGTCGATGTCGCGCGCGCTAACCGTCCAGCCTACGTGCCTGTATCAGCACGCCCAAACGCGCTATAGCCATCTACAACCCCCCCAAAAAACCAGCCCCACCAGGGCCAGCACGCCGCCCATGCCTGCGCCATCGCGCAGACGCTGCGCGGCGCCCGAGGGCGGCGGGGGCGAGCCGCTAACGGTGCTGCTCGGCTTGCTGCTCGTGGTCTGCTTCGGCGGGGGCGTGGAGACGGGGGGCGAGACGACGGGCGGAGAGGATACGGGTGGGGGCGGAGCTTGGGAGGAGACGGGCGGGGGCGGGGCCTGGGAGGAGACGGGTGGGGGCGGGGGCGCGGCGGAAGACTGTTTGGGGATGGGGAGCTCGCCGGGGTGGGGGTTAGTCGTGTGAGGACCTAGGATGTAAAAGCACGCACGTAACGCTCTGGTCTTGGGCAATGCCTGCGGGGCACTGGGAGCTGCCGCTGGAGAAGGAGCCGTCGGCGGGGAAGTAGGTGCATGCGCCGGCGCCCTGGTAGATGCACATGATCTTGTCGCTGTCCTCGCCCGTCGACGGCCGCGCGCCGGTGTTGGGGGTGCCGTCGTCGTCGGTGGGCGTGCATTGGATCTGCAGCTGGGCGGTGGCCAGAGCGAGGAGCGAGAGGAGGACAAGGGTGGAAGAGGTGGGGCGCATTGTCGTAAGTGGTAGAATGAAAAGAGTCGCTGGGACTACAAGGTGTTATGAAGAAGAGAGAACAAAAGGCAGACGAAGCGAAACGCAATGGAGGGAAGAGAAGAGAGACAGTGGGCGGTGCTGAGACAACGTCGCTTGATTGACTGATTGGCGGATTGATCGATTGATGGCGGGCCGAGGTGCCAATGCGAGTGCCATTCGTACATAGCAGCCTCGACCCCATTTTATGCAGGTGGACGACCACCATCCGAGCCCCACGACTCCCGTCCCCCCGCTATAGGGTACATACCAACACCCACCCATCCAGATATCCATCCCTTGATCCTGATCGCGCTTCTATTCCTGTCGCGCTTCTATTAATATTCTTGTTCTATTCTCGTCTGGCGGCATTTAGATTCGGCATGAATCTAAAAAGGAGCGAGCCGCCAGCGAATGAAAATGAGACAATGTTAATAGACACACGCCAACCTACAACGCCAGTCCGCGCACCACTGGATCCGTACGGAACATGGCTCGTCACGCTGAGAGAGAGGCGAGGACTCGGAGGCACAGCGGAGCAAAATGAAATAAAATAAAAGCGCATTAATATATATCTCTAATTCGGGCACGGGGAGTCGAACCCCGGCTTGCTCCACGACATGGGGTCCGATTACGCCACTGACAGGAGCTGTGCGCCGTGCACCATACCCGATGTACTCAGTGTCTTTGGGACCTGGGTAAGTGCATGAGCATGAGTAATTGTCCGCGGGTATCGCCGCGGGAAACTACATAGCGCGTCAATACGCGGGCCGGTTAACACCAAACAAAAATAAAAAGAATTACAACGTGACGTACCCGCAGACAACGATCGCGAAATTCAGGTTAGAGAGATGAAAAAAGTAGCGCGAAGCAGTTTCCGAACAGGAGAGAAAGAAAAAAAGATCACGTTTCAACAATTTCGGGTACGGGGAGTCGAACCCCGGCTTGCTCCATCCAATTACCAACAGTGGCGACACTTCACGAGAAGGAGCGGGGCGCCGTACACCATACCCGATGCAATTACCTTCATTTCAACCTGGGTAGGTGCATTCTTATTACTATACTCCTATACCCGATGTATTGCTGCGAGATTTCCTAGTCCGCTGTCGATGCAATGTGAGGAGCGGTGCACTGTACACTATACCCGGGATATTCCTATTCGGTTGAACCTAGCTGGGTACGTGAGTGATTTTCTGCTCGTATCGCGGGTGAGAACTTCAATCCATGCCAAAGGGCCGGACAAAATAAGAATAATTCCAACGTGACGTGCCCGTACCACAGGTGGAGAGAACAAAATTCCGAAGGATGCTAGAAATGAGGAGGTGACGCGGAGCCAAGCAAGGAGGGGACACTCCATCAAGAAAGTGATCCCGCAAAGATAGAAGGAGCGGTGCACCGTACACCATACCCGATATACATATTCCCCTATTTCGTTTGAACTTGGATATGTCACGGATGAATTAAATATCGACGGCGAGGTAATTATAATGTAATCAGAGCGAACGTAAGTCAGCCTCGGAGTGAGGACATGGCACAGAGGCAAGCCAAAAAAAAAAAGACAAAAGTCCCTAGTCGCTCATTCGGGCACGGGGAGTCGAACCCCGGCTTTCTCCATCCACGTGGGAGAGGAGGCTATTTACATGAAGGAGAGGTGCACCGTACACCATACCCGATGTATTCTTGTTCATTTGAGCCTGGTTAGGTCCGTGAGTAATTTTAATACCTACTAGTATCTAGGACTCAATCTGGTGCCGGATGATAAAATGAAATACAAAGAAGTCCGACGTGACACCCCATGCGTGGAGGGAACGAAGTTCCGGGCCAGGAGCAAAAAAAAAGAGCCACTGATGGGAAATTCGGGCACGGGGAGTCGAACCCCGGCTTGCTCAATCAAACTATTGAGCTCGCAGAGAGAGGAGAGCGGTGTACTGTACACTATACCCGATGTATTCATTATGCATTGAGCCTGAGTAGGTAAGTGTTCAAGACTTACTAGTATCAAGGGGGTCAATCTGGCGCCGGATGAAATCGAATAAGAATATGTCCAACCTGATATCCCATGGGTGGAGGGAACGAAGTTCCGGGCCAGGAGCAAAAAAGAGCCACTGATGGGAGATTCGGGCACGGGGAGTTGAACCCCGGCTTGCTCCACAGCATCCGCGCAACATGTTGATGACAGGAAGCGGTGCGCCGTACACTATGCTCGATGCATTCTTGTTCATGTGAACTTGAGTAAGTACGTGCGTAAATTGCGTCGGGTACTAGTACCCGATGCATTCATTGTTCGTTTGGGGCATGAATTCAATGCTTATTTGTACCGAGGGCGCCGGATAAAATGAAATGAAACGAACATATGTCCAACGTGACATCCTTCCCTCGATGGGATGGGACGGCCTGCCGTTGACGGCACCCGTCAAACTGGTAATAAATACGGGGACGGTGGGCAGCCTTAATTGCCGCTGCGACTGCCGCTGCAGCGGCAGCGCGGTAGTGCAGCGGCCATTTCAGGTACCCCGTCTCTAGACGTACCTATAGAAGCTCATAGCATATAAGCTTTATTAAATCACTTGTGCAGTAGGCCATTGCATCGCATAGAAAAAACGAGTCCGTCCAGGGAGTCCTCGATATACGGCTTGATAAATGAAAGCATATGAAACTAATGGATACCAGCACTGGCACAGCCTAGACCCTAGGCACTCGATTTCACATGTGCAGCCTTTTGAATATGCCGGAGTATTCTCAAGCCACAGCAGCTTCGGTATTATCAATGCACAATGTAAGATTACGCAGTAGAGGGGTATCCGACAAAGAACAGCATGGCGGTAGCAAAAAACTATATTTGTTTTCTTTTAAAGAAACCCACAGAGACCACGGAGGCTTGTTGAACTTCCAGCTTTCGAAATTACTTTAAATCATGGGCAGAAGAAGTTGACCGCTATAGGGGACAGGTGGTTCCTGCCCACCCTTCGCTCCGTCGCCGCTTCGCGTCGACCAGCTCAGATTGGGCGGAACAAAGCATGGCCTTTGGCCATGCCCAGCAATATTTTTTCTGTGGCTCCAGGCCAAATCAAAACGGTGCAGAGCTGTAAACATGGGATCGAAGGATATTGGGATACTTCCTAGCCGTGACACGGAGTAATTCCATTTGAAAACCCAATAGTGCGCTCAATTCTTCGCCCCTGGGCTCATCCCGTGGGTTTATTTGCTTAAAACAAATAGAATTGTGCCTTTGTTCCGTGGATTCTATTTGTCTTGAACAAATAAACCCACGGGATAAGCTCTAGTTTCACTCCAAATGGTATTTCCATCAATAATGCTGGAGAGTCCTTTCGCAAAACCGCATTTTTCGACGTAATTTGGGAGTTCAATGAGAGTTTAGCCTATTTTGTGACCATCTATAAACTTTGGTGTTTTTTTTTCTGGTAGAAAATAGACAGCAGGGAACTGATCAATGCAATTTGAATGCCGAAATTGAAAATTTGTGTCTGAAGAAAACATAATGTCACGTTATAATGGCAGGCAATACTCATTAGATTCTCCTTTGTGCAGCGGAATAGGCCTGAGAATACTTTAATACATACAAGACATGCCTGCGCTCCGCTCCGGCACCAGACCTACATTTTGTTAAAAAAAAATTTAGAACTGGATTTTGAAGTGAAAGGGAACAGTGGTCCGCTCCGACACCAAACTCATGCTGAGTAGCTTTTTGAGAAATTAACAACTGTATTTTTTAGCGATGGAGAACAGGATTAGATTGTCTAGCAGAGAGCGGGGACCAAAAAACGCGGGCAGTAAAGACGGGACCCCTCAAGTTTCGAGAGACAGATCAAAAGTTGCATGAAAGAAATCTTATGAATCCAGCAAGCAGACACAGTTTTTGAAATTGAATTGAACAAGTCTTCAATGGGCCAGTTTCTCCGTAATGAATCCAGAAAGGCAGCCGGCAAGTCTCAGAATTTTTAACATTAGATTGAGCTCGTCCACAATTTCCAGCCATATGTGAAGACTATCCGGATCAAAGCCATAAAGTCATCGAGGAGCCATCAGGGCCCAGAAAGAGCATATTTTGACAGGCAAGAGCAGTGCATTCGATTCGCAGTTTTGAGTCGAAGCCGGAGGAGAGAGAGACTGGGGACTAGGAGGAAAAGCGTCGTGCGCATCTTTATAGGCTGGCAGAGCATATGTGGCCGCAGTGATTTTTGTCAACGCGCCTGCGGCGTATGACTGTGAATCCGAGCCTCTTTGCGAAGGAAGTCCCGAAACAGCAACTAATTCGCACTGTGGCACAGCAGCGTAGGTCATAGGGCTTGCACCAACTATTCCAGATGCGACCGCAGGGCTCAGGAGGCTTGATCAGGTGCTGGTGGATGTGCAGAAAGGCGGAGAAGACGGGTCTCCGTGGCTGCAAATGGAGAATAGCTGTGGAACTACTGCGAGCTCGTGGGAGTTGAAACATTGCAGATTAAGGACCAGGAAGGAGGAAGAGAAACGGGGATAACACAAATGGGGATGGAGCCAAACATGTACAATCTGATTCGAGAGATTTCGTTAAGAGAACGGATAATACCCGTGGACTTCGATATTACTGGTCCGTTAAAGGTGGAGGCTATCGAGGATGTGATGAAGCAAGTCAAACTGTCGATGGAAGCGTGGATCGACAAACTCGATGGCGACACAGGCAGATTGATAAAGAAATCCCTCGATTTCCGCCACTACCTACGGCTCAAAAATCCCGATCATCGCCGTGCACTAACCCAGATGGTTCTGTCAAGCCACAGCCTCGCCGTCGAACGCCGTAGAGGGAAGGAGCGAGGCAAAGACATAGTCCCAAGAGAGTGGCGCAAATGCAGGCTCTGCAAGGAGGCCGTTGAAGATCCACCGCATGCACTCTTCATCCGTGATCACCTCCCAGATTTCGAAGGCGCATTCTCAACCGCATGGAGCTTATTCAAAGCAGTTCTGCCGAAGAGAGAGATGACACCGTCACTGGGGAAATTGGCCTTCAACATTCTGAAAATCTATGACGCCACACCAATGCTCCTTCTGGCCCCGCCTGCACAGCAATAACAACGATGTACAGGAACCTCGCCTTATGGATCATCCTGCAGATGGAGTGATTTTGTGATCGCGCCTCTGCCCTGTTTCTCAGGAGACAGGTGCTGAGTTGTGGTCTGTCTCTTATGAGGCAGATCCTCCAACTGTGGCAGTCGCACGCATCTGCAAAGGGATGACTTACGACAATATTCTTGAGACTGGTGAACACTGGGGATTTTTACCTGGGAGGAGAGTCAAGCTCCTCCTGTACACTTGCGTACTTCGCTTGTGGTCAGGTCCCATGAGGTTCTAACCAGATGTCCTGCCATACAAGCGGCTGGCCAGTCTCAGGTTTATCAGCGTCTTGTGATGATCTACCCCCTTGTCATGAAACGGGTTTGTTCATGACTAACCCCTATTTCTTTTTCAAATTGCAGGATATATTTTGGGCACACACCAAAATATATCCAGCACACGGTAACGGTTGTCGGGTGCAATCAACACGGAGAGGACACACAGGAAGGAAACTACGATACAGACAAATAGGAGGACAATCGGTTTCAACCGACGTGGAAACCGATCACAGGATATTTTGTATATAAACCACTAGATAGAATCATGTACAGTAGATTCTATCTTGTCTATACTCCGGTCTTACTTCAGCTAGAGTGCTGTTTTATAGGCTTGAAGCTCGATTCTCCCTTGCTGCGGGATTGCTCTGACTCATATCCCACATTTCATACCCTGCATTCTGACTTTGACACTACTCCTTCACCTGGGATGGTGAAGCACTACTGGTCTATGTTGCTACTGCAGGCTAGGCGGGATACGACCCCACCGTACACAAGGCCACCGTTTATATTAGTCCTGGTGGGATTATATCTTGCGATTACTTAGGCCAACCTAAGGGCCATCACTGACACCCCTGGAATGATGTTGTGTTCGGTTGGCTTCTTGTAGTTTCTTGGACAGATAACCACCCCTACAGTACTACTTGTTAGTCTTCCGTAAACTCGTTGTTCACTTCTTGGACCACGTGAGTATAATATATCCCCCCCCCCCCCCTTATGCCGGGGTGGGAGGAAGCAAGTAGAAAAAACAAGCGAGATGAACGTCAAAGTATCCTCGAAGGAAACATATATCCAACGAGAAATCAGACACAAGGCAGTCGATGTCGTGTTGTGCTTCCAAGTATCCCGATCTATAGAGCGAGTGAAGAAATTCGTGTAATTATAATGCTACCTCCTCCCATCTGGAGGCCGCAGCGCCTACCTCCCTCCGTCCTGACCACGATATCTTGTGCTCACGTGCCAAGACCACCAGTATCACGGAGGCGACGTTCTCTCGTTCGCTGCGGTTATCTGCAAGCGGTTTATCCAGGCTGACGATGGGCTACAGGTCAGTGAGCTTCACGATGTACAAGCCTCCACGTCAGCGGCCAGCGTTCCGAGCGGAAGAAATGCTGCATATCCATTGTTTTGAGAATACGGTCACGGCGCTGCTGTTCCTTGTCTCGTTGAGCGAATTACGATCAGATGTTGTACGAGGACGAGAGTGTGGTATGTGTCGGCTGCAAGAATCGTATTTTTATAAAATTAAGGAGGGTGGAACCGATCGTGTAGTATACGGTATATGTCAC